TTCATTTTCTTCTCCGGGGCCTTCTCGCTCCCCTTCTTGGGAACCACTTTTGTGGCAACGACCGGCGGGGGGAGAGCAGTTTCAGCATGATGAGTCAGGGCCCCCTCGTTCAGCAGGGTGGCAATCAGGTGCTGCTCACCGTCTGCAGTCCGACGGGCGGCGTCGGAGGCCGATGACCCGGCTCCATGGGCGGCTGCCTCTCTGGCCGCTTTGGCCGCAGCCATCTTCGCCTTCCTGTTCCTCAGGCACTCAGCATTGTCCATTTGTTCGGCGGTAAGGGGGAGACCTGCAAGAGAGAAATACAAGAATATGAAAAGACGAACAGGGATAGGGAGGAACACCCACCTCAGAGGACAGGACCGCCCGTGCCCCGAGACGAGCGTCCAAGGGAGGAAGAAATCCAGGAACACGGGCGGTACCTATGCCTGCTTCAGAGAGTGCCTCGACGGTCAGGTATTCCCCTATAGGGCGAACGCCGCCTTCCAGGACTTTCTTCACTTCCACTTCCAGCCCGGCCGACAGCGCCGGCGACTCAATCTTCGGAGGGTAGCCGTTCCACCGGATTGGGAGGGGAGGACCGTCATATCTAAGAAAAAAGAGCCTATTTTTCCAATCATGGATGGAGGAAGGATAGTGCTCAAATAGCTTCCTCTTCGGACGAGCGGCCACACTCAGGTAACCGTCGGAATTCTGCGGGGTGACCCGGTAGAAGTAGTGGAACAGATCCAGCGATATGACGGCTTTTGCGGACGAACAGCGCACGAGGAATGCGGAGATAAATCTATAAGAGTTGGGCATGAACTGCGCCGGAACCACCTGGTAGCAGTTGAAGAACTCCACGTAAAAGGGATGGAGAGGAAACCGCAGACCGGCCTCCACAGAATCCACATGCAGGATGATCATCCCCGGCCGTCGCCGCATGGCATGTTCGGCCCCGCTATGGCTAAAGACGAACGGATGGGGAAAGAAGGAAGCAATCTTGTTCATAGCGACGCTGGAGAGGGACTGCCTGTGCTCTAAGACACTCTTAATCTTGCAAATGTGCCTCTGCACATCCATGGGAATACCTAAATCGTGCACCTCCAGGTCGGAGCCAGATTGGGCCTCGTCTGCAGAATCATAACCGGCGGGGCGCTCGTTCAGGGGGACGGCGTCAATAACATCTGTGGCCCCGTCGGCACCCCCCGTCCCCGGCGTCGCTCCCACTACTTTGCGACACATTATCCGGCTCGCCATCAGCCCGGATAGTCCCCACCGTCGTGGCTGAACCAGAGGTCCCGGAAATGCTGGCCTTCCCGGGGGAGCGAGCACTCACATCGGCCGAAGAGGAGCCCGAGGAGGAACCCGACGAACCGGAATCAGAGCTTGACGAAATCTCCATCGAGGTCATTTCGGCTAGGAATCAGAACAAGAAAAGGAGCAGAGGGGGGAAATTACCTTACAAAGGGGTTAGCCGGATTCAGAAGAGGACTTGAAGAGCTGCGGAAAATCGGGAGCAAGAGAGCAGAAATTGGGAACCCTAATTCAGAGGGAAAACCCGGTATTTAAAGGAGAAAACACCGATGGCGAAGCCAACGAGGGGCCGACACGTGGCAAGGAGCGTACCCCGGCCACGCGCTGTGCGTGGGATGGGAACGCAATGATGACACCTCCTCGGGAAAATGCACCGCCGCAACATCAGGCGTCACCTCGTTTCCTGAACCGGCGACAGCTGTCAAGCACCATGACCACGAGCGTACGCTTCCACCAGATGCAATAAACATAAGTATCAAGATACGGACGTCTACTTCGGGGGGGTTCATACTTCCTTATGTCCTGCGCATGCTCAGAACATCAGAAGTGGGGGACTTGTGTTGGGTTAAGGGCCCAAGCCGAGGTCCGGCCCACTAACCCATTTTGCCAGACGAACGTCCAGCTAGAAACCAGGCCAGCCCACAGGCCCGTGTCTCTTGAGGATGGACGAACGTCTGGTGTTGGAGGACTCAGGCCCAGCAGCTCATTCCGACGAACGTCTGTGCAGAGACAAAGAGCAGAACCACGGGCGAGCGGGGATGGCGACGAACGTCCCCGGAGCAAGCCTGTGGTCATCGGGGAAAACCCAGGCGACGAACAGCCGATATCCCTCAAGGGTCACTTGGAGCAATCCAACTCACTTCCGGGGTGGACGAACGTCCCCACTGATCCGGCGGGAAACCTAGATTCTGGCGGGAAGTGCATTTAATGCTAAAGATTTGGTAGTTGGGACACCAGCGGTCCACAGGCTGCCACGTCAGTACAGCCACCTGCCCATTGGCGGGTATAAATAGAAGCATTTATTTCATTGTAAAGGGTTGGCAACTTTCTATTCTTAGCATACTAGCTCCAGCATTCTTACGAGTAGCATTCCTATCGCCTTGTAAGACGAACGGCCGACGTGCCCTTTTTAGCAAGTAGATTGTACTTAGGGGAGTTATTACGAAGTTAATAATACCTATTTACATTGCCTGCTATTACTCTCGTT